AGAGAGAGAGAGAGAGAGAGAGAATCCCAAGCAGGCTTCATACTCAGGGTGGAGTCCAATGCGGGGCTCAATCCCACAACTCCGGGATCATGACCCGAGATGGAATCAAGAATGAGATTCTGAACAGACTGAGCCACCCAGGTGCCCCTAAACAAAGAGGTTTAAAGCAGGAATGGAAGAGAGGCAGCTAATGTAAGCATGCATTTTAATAACAACATAAAAGCAAGGCCATGTCTGCTGATTGAAATGTTTGAAAGCCATCAGGGGAAGCCCCTAATATTCCTGGAGAGGAGTGCACTGGGACAGAGGCAAGTGATTCCCCAAGAGAAGGACAGGGCATTAACGCTCACGCATAAGCTGGGTGGAAAAGCCAAGACTGGAATATGGGAGGAGGGCTAGCTGGCCAGCGCCTGACAGGCCTTTCCAGAGCTGACAGCAAGTTTCCCGTCCCTTCTTTGGCCAAAAGCCGTTATGCATAAGTCAGAGGATGGTGGTCTCCTTCCCTTTTCTTCTACCTCACGCTTGGCTGCAGCCTCCAAAAAAAGGAGGCTCTCTTGAGTTCCTTAGAGGATTTCTCCCTGGATAGGATTCCCAAGGGGGCTATCCCTCGCTTGGAGGGAGAGAGATGATTATTAACAGTGGGCCCTTGGGACAGAGAGGTCTGTGGACTGCAGAGGCCTAGAGAAACCACAGGCCTGTCCTGCTGGCACTCTGTCTCTGAGGAAAGGGGTAGGCGGTCCACCCAGCATGAGTCAGATCGATGTATACGTCAAAGCATGCCGCCCAAAAGAAAACAAAACTCTATCAGCTTCACATTTGGTCATTTTTGGCAAATATAGCCTCAGTAGTCTCTGATAAATCCTTCACTCCTCAAGCTTATGAACCATAAATATTAATGACAGGTTTTAACTATGAAAGACTACTCTTTAATGAGAAGGCAGGTTAGGGCTCTCTTAATATAGCCAGGGCCCATTCCAGCAGGCAATCAACCACAGAAAGGCGCCGTACTCACAATGATGGGTATGGTGTTGGCTCTGGACAGGATCTGTTTGACCAGCCGGTATCTGTCATACAGCGGCTTCATGACCTGACGTTCGTTCTTGGTTACCTGAAAGCAAGAGCGACGCAGCTGAGAAGCCTGCCTCTGGTGGTCAGGCTGTCAGCAGCTCAAGCTCAGGGCCTGGGGGAAATACAGATGATTCAACTCCGCTCTCGCCATTCTTGCAAAATGTACTTAAACTAATAATATTTTTCAGCCAGTGACTGTTTAAAATATCGACTTTAGTTGCAGACCTTTGGAAATCAGCAGCACTGCTTTTCCTCAATCAAAGCTATGACCAGAATTCCCAGGTGATTCAGGTTCAGGGAAGAAGAAAGCATGTATTTCTATAATACTTACGGTGCAGCTCTGTAATCCATTTTTTTTTTTTTTTACATGTTTCTCTCCCCATGAAGTTGTTTTTAAGGACAAGGTTCTGGCGAACAGTAGGTATTCAAGGAATATCTGCTGCTGCAAGACTGCATGGACTGACTCCTCCCCATAGCCCTAAAATCTGGCAGGGTGCTCACAAATGTTTAAAGAACAGCCCCTTCAGGCAGTGGCGGCGGGGGGGGGGGGGGAGGCGGGATGACCACTCTCAACTCCTATGGGGTTTGATATTCTCATAGAAGCCTTTCATCATTTGCTGCTTCTCTTCTTCTGTCACACCTCAAGCTTCAGAGATAAACTAGGCTGTCTCCTACCTCTCCGCCTGGTCCTGTATGCCCTGCAAAGGCTGCCTCCCTGCTTCTTGGTTTGGCAGGTTCCAGATCAAGAGCCACCTCCCCCGTGCAGCATCTTCCAACATCCCCCATTCTGGGACACCTGCTCATTCACCTGTGTGTCACCTACTGCACCCTGTGTATACTTTGTAACTTCACACATGCTGTGCTATAGACTGAATGTGCATGTCTCTGCCAACCTCCTTTACTGAAACATAATCCCCCATGTAATGGCATTAAGCAGTTGGGACATTTGGAGGTGATTAGGTAAGGGTGGAACCCTCATGAATGGGATTAGTGCCCTTAAAAAAGAGAGCTCCCTTGCCCCGTCTTCTAAGTGAGGACAGTAAGAGAATGGCTGTTGGTGAACCAGGAAAGAGCCCTCACCAGACACTGAATCTAACAGTGCCTTGATCTTGGACTTCCCAGCCTCTACAACTGTGAGAAATAAACTTTTGTTGTTTATAAGGCACTCGTCTATGGTATTTTGTTAGAGCAGATCTGTGGATGACACATTTTATACCCTATAGTAACTATGTGTTGGCACATCTGTCTCCTTTTTAAGACTGTAAGGCCCTTGAGAGCAGGTGTTTGTGTTTTGTATCCCTGGAAACTATGTCAGTGCCTGACATAACGGAAATATTACATGAATATCTGCAAAATGAGTGAACATTTAAAACATAAATATGTATGCAAAATGTATAGGTATGTATGCAGTTCACTTGTTTACTGAAATGGCCAAAGGGATTAAGTATCTTTGTTTTGAGTCTGCTATTTGTCTTCTGTGCTTTATTTCGGTGCACACATAAGGAATGAGTTACAGAGGTAAGGAAGGGCAAATAGCATTAGCTGTGACCATTTCTCTAATGGGCCTTTTGGGCCTCCAGCTTTGAAGACAACTGTGGATTATGCATGAATGGGTCACTCCTTTGTAACCTTTTATTTTTGCCTTTCTCAAAGTGGTCAACAATAAGTAGACTTTGGACAAACTTCATGTGTCAGGATAGGATCCTGCCATTATGCAAAAACATCTTGTGGACTTATATTCTATTCAGAGCACTAAATAATCTTTTCTATTTGTCTTCCTAATGTCACAATGTTAAGAGTCAAATGGAATTTTCCTATTTCTTGTTACCATATCAAAAGGAGTTTTAAAATTTTTATTTCACAGATGATTGTCAAAAAAGAAAGGGAATACAGACATCATTTTACACAAGAAAGTCTAAGGATCAAACTATGGATGTTACTACTGGACGCATGTACCACAACGGCTAACATGAAAGGACAGACAGTGCCAAGCATCAGCAAGAATGCTGAAGAACTGAACTCTCCTTCACTGCTGTGAAGAGTGGAACACTCTGGACAACTATGTGGCAGTGTCTACTAAGGCTGGACATAGGACTCCTCAGTTCCACTCTTTTTTTTTTTAATGTTTATTTATTTTTGAGACAGAGAGAGACAGAGCATGAGCATGGGAGGGGCAGAGAGAGGGAGACACAGAATCTGAAGCAGACACAGAACCTGAAGCAGGCTCCGGGCTCTGAGCTGTCAGCACAGAGCCCGACGCGGGGCCCGAACCCACGAACCGCGAGATCATCACCTGAGCCGAAGATGGACGCTCAACTGAATGAGCCACCCAGGCGCCCCTCCTCAGTTCCACTCTTAAGTATATACCAAACAACTGTGGCCTTAAGCTCACCAAAAGCCATACAGAATTATGTTCACAGCAGCACTTGGAAACCATCCATATGGCTAACAACGGGATGGATAAGGTATGTTCCCCAAACTGAATACTATACAGAATGAGGATGAATGAGCCACAGCTACAGGTAGCATTGTGCATTGATCTCACAAAAATAAACCCAAGTAAAATAAGCCAGACACTAAAGAATACATACTGTAACATTCTACTTCTGTAAGTTCAAAAATAAGCAAGTAGAATCTACAGAGTTAGAAGTCAAGATGATGGTTTTCCTTCATGCAGTGGAGGTCATGGTAAGGACTGGAAGGGGCTGGGAGCAGGGTTTTCAGAGGATCAGCAACATTTGTTTCTCGATGCTGGTTACCTGGACTTGTTTACTTTGTGAAACTGCATCAAAATATGTATTTATAATTTCCATTCCTTTCTGTATTTATGTCATACTTCAGTAAGAGTTGAACAACAGCCACAGATAAGTCTGAGGAGTAGAAATGGAATGACTTGTACAATCTCACGTGTAGAATGACAAAATTTAGGACTGGAACACATGGAATCACTTTTTAAATACAAGATGTATCCATTAAATGTGTTGCAGATGAGGTTAAGGCACATCCTAATTGTCACCACATAACATGTGGAGAAATACTGTGCAAGATAAACAATAGTTTAGTGACCAAAAGACAAACCAAAAATAATCATAAGGAGCTAGCATTTCCCCATTGTGGACTTGCATCCTATTACTTGTTGCTTGGCATAAACATCTTTGGATTTTAGAGGACAGTCTGGATTTTAGAAGGAGACTTATCTGGTAAAACCAGTCAGCTATGGCAAATTTAAAATATTAAATATCTTTAAGTCTGACGGATGGAAAGAACTGATACTACTTGGTTTACACCAGAATTATTTTCATGAAATATCTCTGAAGACAAAGGCTTGGTGATACTCCTAAGTTAATACAATTTTCACTCACCATAAAGCCATGTCACATGCAATTATCAGTAGTGGATTTGTTAGATGAGCCAAAATCTAACCAACAGTTACATAAACAAAGCAGGGCCTTGGCTGAACTGCTAAAAAAGGGTCAGCTGATATTAAATGGACCATGGGAAAACTGTTTGGAAGTCAATGTCTCTTATTCTTGAATCATGGGCTGCTTGGAGATTCTGTTATTGACCCAGTTCTTGGTTCTGGCCTTTAAATGAGCCAATAAAGTTCTCTGAGCCCCGGTTTCCTGATTGGTAAACTGTAGAATTCAGATTAGAAAATCTTTATGATGTACAGTTGCTTGAAGATAACTTTAGGCTAAGCATGTAATACATGGTATTTTCTATAATACTTTCATTCCTCTTGCCTCAAACCTTGATTAGATTTTCATTTAGGTGGTAGCTGTGAATGGCTTTCCAGTGTGTGGGAAAAGGGTTACTACAGAGATGTATTTTGCACACAAATCAGGACAACGTAAAAACCTAGATACAAACATCTAATGGGGGAAGGCAGCTCCTCCCATTCTGTCTTTGTTTTTGATTAAAAGAAATCTTCATTTACTGGTCTCTTACCACTTTATTTGGTTGCTCTGTAAAGTGTCAGATAATATTTCCAGGTACCATGGGAACACCAGACAATAATTAATCCACATTTAAGTAGAGGAAAGTCTTGGACAGAAATTACAAAGACCTGATGAGACAACTGCATTTGCCTGCCTTTATCTTTTGTGATGGTTTTTGTCTTAGCCTCAGATAAAACTTCCCTATAGAAATACCCATTTGGGGTCTGTTACCTGCACAACACAACAAAGGTCAAAGAGAAAATGATTGATGCTTTTAATTTGAAGATAAAGATAGAACTAGAACCATGGCATGTTAGAGCTAGACGAGCCTTGTTTTTTCATATGATGAAACTAAGCACTGAGAGGGTAATGACTTGCCCAAGGCAGTAGATCTGGGTCAAGAACTCAGGTTTACTGACTCCCAGCCCAGTTTTGTTTCCATTCACATATGAGCAAGATGTGAAGTAAAGTAGAAACTTAACATGGTTAAGACATACTAAAAATGTCACAGTGAAGCATTTTCCTCTAACAGGGCTTGACCAAGTTGTCTTCTGAATATAAAGAATTCTGCCTTCCAAGCTCAGAGCTCTGCCTGTATTGAGTTCACAAGACCTCTAGCTATCAACAGTAGCACAGAAGCACTGTGCCACCTAAAAATCTTCTTAGTAAAACAAGTGATTTGAATTTGTGTGTAGAGGGATACCTCTGAGTCATAAAACTACTGGCAGGAGAAGACAAATGACATGGATTCTTAGAACTATTGCATATTGGCCCATCAACTCAGAAAATGGCAACTGTTTCCTCTTTATTATCAGGTAAAAGTGGTGGACTGTGCCATGAACTGATGGCAATGGCCAACTTTGGCAAGATCCAGATCAGGATTTACGTGCAGATCAAGTGGATTGATGGGCTACTCCAAGGAACAAATCAAAGCACACCTGATGGAGGGTCCAAAATAGCACTACGAGTAGGGCAATAAAATAACCAAAGTCACAACAACAGAGAGCAAGTAACAATCTCTGAAAAAACACCTCCTGAAGGGCCAGGCCCTGGACAGTATATGACCCTCCTTTAATATAGCAGTGCTCACAGGTACAGAGCA